ATAAAGTATATTTATAAATTGTTAGAAAATCTCGTGTCTGAATTGTCAAAATTGAAAAGCACTCCGAACCCTTCGAGATACGAACGAAAATAAGAGTGGTACAAATTATTTTCTTTTGAATACCGTTGATCCCATTTTAATACGTTTTAAATTGACTAAGTTGGTTACATGGGAGTTGCGCAAAAATTGAAAAGCACTGTTTTCTTGGAAATGACACATGATATACAATTTTTTTTGATGGTACAAAATACAATCACAGTACAAATTCAATCCTATTGATTTCTGATATTATTTTTATTTATTTATTTTTTTTTTAATTGGTCCTGCCAGCTTAATATTAAGCTAGCAGCGCCACGATTTTCTTCGAAATAGCACGTAGTACAAAATTATTATTGATGGTACAATTTAATATAAAATGAGTACTAAAAATTCTGGTAGGTCCAATTCGATTCTGCTTATTTGGTCGTGCTAATTTTATAGAGCTTAATTCATCAATTTAACTGAGTTTATTATTTTTCTGCATTTATTAGGGCTTTAAAAGCTGGAGTAAAATGTCCTTTGTTGGTACTACTGCCAGATGATCGTTTTGAGAACGTTGAGCTAGTCACGCTTCTTGGTGCTTTGGAGGGTCTCTATGTGGTGAGTTCTATTATAACAAATCATTCGTCATAGTATTATAATTAATATTATAGTTAATATCGAAATAATATATATATCGAAATAATATAAATGGATCATACCATATCTTTTATCTGGGAAGTAGAATATTAAGTGATTTAAAATATTATTAATAAAACAAAATTTATAACTACATAAATGTACGATTTATATAGTAAGATAAACGAATAATCATTACTTTATTATTAGAACTTCATGCATGGAGACGTTTAAGAAAAGAGTATCTGTAAGCTTATTTAATTCGAAAATAGCAATCAAAACAGATTTCCCACATCAACGATTGCTAAATGTGGAAAAGTTAAATCGATCGGTATTAAACGTTACTGAGATAGTAGAATTTAAAAATAGAAATGGAAAAAATCGCTGGTTAAAATTGAGAGAATCGATAAGCGAATGTTACTCGATTGTGCCAATATATCCGGTTAAGGCATTTCGCAGATAGTTGGTACAGTTGTGGTTATACGAGAGCCGTTTAAACCAATCAAACAGATACAACACAGCTTTGTGCGCATCTATACATTGGCAGAATAGGAAGCCTGTAGTTGTATCTGGAAGGAATTCATCTCCTGTTTCAGCCGAGTTTGGTGTGCTGCGGTCTGATTGGCTGCCCCCAAGTTACTCACCATATTCTAACTCTAGTAAATCCGTCTCTAAACCTCATCTCTAAACTAAATTGCCATTGTGATTTAAATCCATAACTAATGACTAAGTGAGCTGTGCAACGTAATTCAACTAATCTGTAATATTTTACGAGAATTAATTCCGCTTCATTAATGTCCGATCGTTCCAATAAGATTCTATTCGCTATAATATCGAATAATATTACTATAAACCTCTGGATATTTATTATTTAATAATTATGAGAAGCTAGAATACGTGGATAATTTGCAAACATTTGCATTTCACAATGAATAATGCAAGTATCATAATCCATGCTGTGCATCCAATATAGACTGATTACAACCATTCGGTGTTGACAAGCAACCGTATATTCGAGCTTTCAAAATATATTTTTCTCAGATACAAATGTATGTGACAGAGACAAAGGACACGATCGGCCAAAGATAAGATCATAAACATTTCAATAAACAATTTCGTTCAATATCTTCTGAAAATAAATGATAGCCCGATGACAGATACCGACGGCAAAGAGTGTGGTCAACACTATCATCAAACAATACCTGTCACGGACAGACTCCGGCGTGGGTTAGGCTTGATCGATAAGTATGCGGCGTGTCTTACGGAGGATATCGGGTTGCACAATTCGATTGCGAGCTCCATTGTTCATTAACCTCAGCGCCGCCGCGGTTAATTACGGTCGGACGATAGTATCCGCGTTATTATGCGAACTTCCAAGTCGGAAGTTATCCGGCACGAGTATACGCGGTACGATCGATTTGAATTCTGTAGTAGCTTTACCAGCGCGAGTCGCACGATCGACTACATACGTCACTCACGCACGCGTACATACATTCAACAATTAAAAATATTTAATTGAATACAGTCTTCCCATGAACGTCGTGAATACCAAATTTCAAATATCTTTGCTAGCATAGAAATAGTGACTGATAAAACAGAAAAACTTTTGTAACGATTTGTAACAAAATAATGTATTAACCTACAATGAATGAAAAAAATGTTTGCCATAATTTATAGTCATTTTTGGGATGTTATATACCCTATACAGGGTGTTCAGTGCAACAATCCACACACGATTTTTCAGACACTTTCGACAGTGAAAAAAAAGTTAAAAAAAAGAGTGAAGGATGAAAGTATTCCTCTCTCTGTTTTATATAGACTACGACATTCGATAAAAAAATTTAAAAAAAATTTTTTCCATAAGAAAATCAAAGTCATCTTAAATTTTTTAAATAATACCATACAATTTTTTTTAATTCTTCTATCGCATGTTGTAGCCTGTGACAAATAAATATTCACCTTTTAATTTTTTTTTTAACTGTCGGAAGTATCTGAGAAATCGTGTGAATCGTTACGCTAAATACCCTGGGTATATTTATAGTTATTTCAACTATACAAATATAGTTAATTGTGCTATTAATAATAATTAATAATAATCATACACAATGTTCAAAAATTTTTAATTCTTCCTTAATATATTTTTTATGTTATTACCACATAAATAGTAAGTAAATTTAAGAAAAAGATCATAATTCACTATAATTGCAATTGCGTTTATTGAATAAAAACGATTATTTTATTTATATCATTTACCTATATATTTTGTCATTTTATATTAATACTTAAAATTATCATAATTTATAGTACAATTTTTTTCTTGTTTTAAAGAACCATATATGGTTATTATTATTAACATTTTAGCAGTAATAATCATAAAAAAAGAGCTACTACACCATAATTATTTTATCATGCAATTATAATTACAAATACCAAACACTTTTTTTCTCAGTATATAAAAAAATTACTACGTTATTCCAAAAGATTAATTCTCTGTGTCAATTAAAGCAAATTTATAACTACTTTTTGTATAAAATAAAACAATATTTTAAAGGTAAAAAGTAGCATTTTGTGCAATTTCTATATACATATATACATATAAATTTTGCAGTTGACTTATTTTTTTATTAAATTTCAACATTCAATAGTACACAAGTGTTAACATAATATTGATTCATCCGTCATAAAATAAAATAGCTGTTGAAGTAAAGACAAGATCTAGACATTCATCTCTTGTCGAAGATTAAAGAGTGGTAACTTTAAACCGATAAAGTAAAAGCAGTTGCAAAAGAAGAAGGGCACTACGCTTGTGATCAGTGTAGATTACACGCTAGATAGAACAAGAGACTTGTTCTCAGACTTTGTATCATGGAGAAAGACCTATGAAATCTTTTGGATCTTCGCTGGAATGAACATTATTTATTATAAAGAGAATTTTAAAAAATTCTAGATTTAGAATAGTAGTACTCCTCCAAAAAATAAAAATTATTTAAACAACATATGTCAAAAAATAGATTTTATCGAAAATAGAAGCAAATTTTCATTTTGATAAGATAAGGGATTTATTTGCATTTCTACTGAATGTCTTTTTTTTATATAGATTAATTTTTTATCCTGCACATAAAAAGATTCGACGATTATAGAATTATCATCAAAAAATAAATACATTAAGTATAACAAATATTTCATATCTTTTATTGAAATTGATGATATAATTTAATATCATTATTATTTTTAATAGTTTTATGTTAATAGTTTTATTTCATTAATGTCATTAATTTGTTACATCATTGCATTCAAATTTAAATCGATATTTAATTATTTCTTTCGGGAGGCGTGACAAAGCTTATCTAATAGTGAATGTTCTCATAATTCGTTGTTCATACATAACAGAGATTCTTTCGCATAAGTTCAAGGACCAAAATTCTAAGTTCGGATCACCAAGGAAGGAGTAGTTGGTCGGGGCTTGTTTGTAGGCGGCAACGGGGTGTAGCAAGGGGTTAGGAGGACGCAGGAGGGTAAGCCGAGTGCTCTGCCCTATCAAGAGTAGCAAATGCTTGGCGTTCCTGAATCCTGGCGGCCGGCGAGGCGACCTAATTAGCGAAATACTCGGGTCTTCCCTCGTCTCGCCTCACCAACCGCTCAGCCTGCGGCACAGGAACGTTGTTGGCACCAAGCTCATACGCTTCTTTCTTGATAGTTCCCTCTTCTGACCCTCTTTCCTCTCCTGCATCCCTCGTTCCTTCCGTCAGATGCAAATACGGGGCATCGTTTTCCAAATACCAGGAAGCGTCCTCGGAATTTCTGCGCCGCGTAATCGGAACACCGCGTTGTCGCGAATCTTGCATCGGTCTCTTTCTCGCTTCTCTTACAGCTAGCAGTTTTCCGACTTTTTCAATTCTTTCCGCTCGCTCGCAACCTGCATGAACGCGCACCAGTGACAACACAAAAGGTCGCTCGTGATAAAACGAACCGCGCACGTGTCAGGTCGTAGAATCTTTTTGTTGAAAAAAATTTAAGCTCTGTGTATATATGTATATATATATATTTTTTGCTCTCACTGTATATATATATATATATATATATATACATTACATTTTCGGCAAATATCGATTAATAGGCAGGATTGATAAAAATCTTTGTACTTTTTAAAACATATTTAATTGATTTAACAGTTTTGACAGTTTTTAATTGATTTAATTGGTTTTTAATTGGTTTTTAATTGATTTAACAGTTTAACAGTTTTTAATTGATTTAATTGGTTTAAACAGTATTATAAAAAAACATATTTTAAGGTTTTTTTTTTATGATACCGTTTAAAGCATGTATGAAGCATTAAAAACATGTGTGCAAAACAAGAAATGATCGTTAATTAAACGTCAAATCGACATCAAATTGGTGTTGAAATCATTAAATTTATATCAATTCGACATCAATTTGATGACTCATTTCTGGATAATATTTACTTTATAAAAATAAGGTTTTTTTAAAAAATATTTTCTCTGTACGAATATTTTTTGTACTTACTGTACATATATATCAGAATACTGGCATTTTTAAAGCAAAGAAATTAAAGTTAGTCTTTACCGGGGATGTAAATTAATTAAAAATCTTTCAATCAATTTATATGTAAGTTCATACAAATTATAAGTCCTATTATCTATATCTTTGTCCAATTTTATTATCTATGTCTATAAAGTTCTCATTCAATAAGAAAATTATCATATTTTTCTGTGCATCAACATTTTCTGTGCAGATGAATAAATTTCTCTTTTTTTATTAGATTTTATGTAAAAAATAAATAAATAAATAAATGGTATATGATTTGATATAACAGATTTAAAATAGAAATAATATTATAAAAAATATTATTTCAGCAAAAATAAATCGTACTAAAAGGATAAAATTTCTTATTTTCTTGTTTGTCGTATCTTAAAAATTTATAATCTTCGATCGACGATTTTATATTTTCACAGCCTTTGGAAGTGCGTGAGATAGGTCCGGATCGATGTTACAAAGCGTGTGAACTCGGAGTGTGGAGTCCGATTTGCAGTAAGAAGCTTCAGGGTATCGTGAAACTCGCCTCGGCGCTTGAGAGTGGTAGATACGTCGCAAGGGACATCGGTAAGTCCTGTTCTATCCCAGGCGTACACGACTCGCGGTAGTTTATCGAGTGAGCAAAGCAGGTTTTCCTAACTGTGTGAGAGAAAAGGAGGAGAAGAGGAAGAGAACTTCCGTCGCGAGTTTCCTCTTTTCGCGGAAGAAATAAGCTTTGGTGGGGAAAATCGCCTGCGGCTTCCTACTTGTTCGAGAAAGGTCTTTTGGATCCCCGGTTAATCGAGCACAACTCGTCGCTCTTCGCGTTCCAGTGTTCAAGTTCAGTCGGAATAGCCCTCGGGAATTATCGAGTTTAAAGTTTAAGTAGCCAGCGATTTAGAGAGTTTAAGTGTTCATTTTTAATGTCACGTTTCGTGAACAACACAGCAGGAAAGAGCTCATTCCCTGTGGCAGTTAACAACAATTGACGTTTCTATAATATTTGCCATAGCATTTCGAGGATTTATCCTTTACCGTCTTAGAATTTATATGCTTTATTAAGTATATGGCTTTTATACATAAACTTCCATTTCCGCTCAGTTAGCTTGGATAGAACGTATACTATTTGCTTGCTCGTAGAGCAAAACGAGAAAAGTGAATAATGCAATTTTGTAAAGTAAATTTTGATGACCTAGCTATTGCCGCAAGCTCAGAGACTGAATTATTTGCATGTACCAGAGCGAAAGACAAATAATAAATGCACATTTTTCAATAACTAATCAATATAAATATAGAAAAGATATTTGCAATTAGCAACTTGAGATTTATAATGCATTTTTTTCTACGATTTATTCAAAGATATATTAATTTCGACTAAAATTACAATAATAAAGTTCTTTACAATATAATTGCAATATCGATAACATTTTATGAGTATTAAAATTTTTCATTACACATCTCGATCGAACAAAGATAATAAAAAAAGATGCAAATAATTAAATAACATAATCTTACATTTATCAAATGATGGGAATAAATGCTGATGAAAAATATCGTATTTATTTGAAAATAATTGGCTGAAACATGGTCTTTATATAAAAGAGAAGAGTTCAATGTATTCAGTTTAGTATTTCAGTTTCATATTTCAATGTATTAAATGAACAAATGCGAAGCTTATTCGCAACTGAGAATTGTATGTATGCATGCACAAGTTTGGATTGATTAAAATAAATTATTAATAAATAAAACTTAAATGCAAATAATTAATTTTTACAAAATTTGCACGTTGCATATGCATGTTGCATAAAATAAAAATAGAAATTACAAGAACATATCGCAAATTTTTGTCTTTATCGAATGAATTTTATAAGATAGTAAAATATAATCGCGAAATAAGAAAGTAACATCTTATATCTAATTATTTAATTGTAAAAAACTCTATCGATTGATCTATCGATTAATTTTTACACATGTATTTATTTAATCTATATCTATTCATATCCTATTAATAGTGAGTGGCGCTTTTATTTTGTGTTAAACTAGGTGGTGCAGACCCCGAAAGAATGACTCCCTTGAGAGTGGAGGAATACCTGGCGGAGCTGTTTTGCGGATCGAGTATCACGATGCAAGTGATATCCGATCAGGATACGCTACTTCAGGAATACCCACTATTCGCTTGTGTAAATCGTGCTGCCTCAGTAATACCGCGTCACGCCGGTAGAATTATATTTTTGACTTATGAGCCGCCCGCTTGCGTCTTGGAAACGATCTTGATCGTGGGGAAAGGTGTCACTTATGACACCGGTGGCGCCGACATCAAGTGCCAGGGCATCATGGCTGGCATGTCGAGGGACAAATGTGGCGTGGCCGCTTGTGCCGGATTCATGCAGGTGCTGTGTAATATATCGTCGAGCATTATACGTCGAGCATTATGCTGAAACGATCTCGTTTCACCTCGCTTCTATTAATAATATGTCGTTTTAATCAGCTTCCTGCTTGGCTATAATAAAAGCTGATAGATTCTTGAATGATCATCATATGCGAACCGTAATTCTATTTCTTATGGCATTACGGTGTAAGGTATTAATGATCTCGATGCAGGTTCCCTTCCCCCCCCCCTCTCTCTCTCTATATATATATATATATATCATGTATATGAATACGTATGTGTGTATATATTATATATACATGCACATATATATGTATATACATATGTATTATATAATACATATAGCACACCGAGCCTATTACTATATGCATTTATGATCGAGATAAAAGTTTTGAACTAACCAGCGCTGTGTAAAAGATCAGGAATTATCATTTTGGACATATTTATTTTTGCTAAATCAAGAGTTAAAATTAAACAAATAATGAAACCAAGTAATGCGTTTTTAAAATATTTAATTATACACAAATTATATTTCATACGTCTAAATAAGATCTGTTATATACCGTAGGTAGTAAATTTATTGCAACCACCAACAGTAAAGGTCGTCATCGCTTTGTGCGTAGTAAGAAATAGCGTAGGCGAGAACTCTTACGTCGCTGATGAGGTAATTACAGCAAAATCCGGTGCAAGGGTACGCGTGGGCAACACGGACGCCGAGGGTAGAATGGCTATGGCCGATGCTCTCTATTATCTCAAAGAAATGGCCCTATGTTCTGTGAATCCGCATCTCTTCACAATAGCTACATTAACAGGCCACGCAGTATTAACTGCAGGTTTAGGATATTCCGTAAGTACTTATCATATTTGTAGTTACGCTTTTAATCGCACTTTAGCGAATAAGATAACGCATGTAGCAATTCGAATTTCTATTACTCGGATGACGATGTAACATTATTTTGAACAAAAAGAGCGAATAATCCCTATATAGTTGTGCTATCACCACGTAACAATAACAAAACTAGACGTTAAAATCTAGATGCGAACTGGCAGAAATGTATACAGACAGTTATGTTTGTTGATTCATTGACGAAAGCATAATTGGACAGGGTTATAAACGATCTAGATACGGCATACAGTTTTCCTGTGTTATATTGAAACGATCTAGATGCAACGTGCAGTTTCCCTGTGTTATATTGAATCCCGAGCGTGACATATGATATGATTTTGTTATCAAAATTGCTTGTAGACGTTAGACTATAATTCATCCTCTGAGGATACTTTTTGGTAAAAGATTCTCCGATAAAAGATCCATTTTATCATGTATCCATATTTTCGAAAATGCAGAACTTACATTTATATTTATTGCTATAGATTGCTATGGATAATGCTGTGGCACGACTAGCTAGTAATGCGGAAAAGCTTCAAGCTTCCGGCGAAGCTGTTGGCGATCCATTCGAAATATCGCGAATACGTAGAGAGGACTTTTTTGCTCATCAAGGGCGTACGGAAGGTGATGATATTCTTCAAGCACTAAATCAACGAAGTTCCAAAATTCCGCGAGGTCATCAGGGACCAGCCGCTTTTCTAATTAAGGCTTCCGGATTAGACAAGGTGTTATGTCTGTTGTTATTACTATTTAAGTTTAAGTTTTTATTTAAATTTAACGTGTTTCTAGATATTATAATGTCGTTTAATCATTTATGACTTTTAGCATGGTAATGAGTCAGAAAAGCCATTAAAATATTGTCATCTGGACATAGCCGGCAGTGCCGGTGATTTTCCCGTACAACCAACCGGATCACCAATTTTAGCATTAACCAAAATGTTTCTTTTTGATAAAATAGAGACCAAAAATCCGTAAAATGCTGCGATATTTTATGTATCATACATATCTTTATAGATATTATATATCATATACATATCCTTATATCGTATACCTAAAGCAATTAATATTCATGATTGGCGCAAAGAACTTTGGATATTAACCGGAAATGCAAATAATAATTAATTATCTCTATAAATCCTTGAACCTCAGAGTTCAAGAATTTATATATAAGCTGTACAACACGGATGTACTTGGAACACAATAAATTACATGATTTGTTAATAGGCATTTATCTAAGACGGCAAAATGTTAGAAGCGACAAATTTTTGAAGATATCTTTTGAATATAAAATATTAAAATAAAAATTAATTTATTTTTTATTGTATCATATCAATCAAGATTATCCATTATCTACTTCATTCGCCTTAATTAAGTACAATAAACCCTTTATAGATGATCGAGTTAATACAAACGTGAGCAGACATTAATTGTGGATTAAGAAGTTTTTTCATTACTATGACGTTTCAAAATTCATTTATTCTCTCTCTCTCTCTCTCTCTCTCTCTCTCTCTCTCTCTCTCTCTCGCTTTCTCTCATTGTCCCTGTCCTCCCTCTCTCATTTCCCCTCTTTCTCTTCCTGACCAATTTCGTATTGATTGCAGCATGGAGTTTGTAGCTGTACCCCTTTAAAGTACACGCACATCGATTTACACGGACATCTACCTCTACCTCATTGCATCCCGTACAGTGGCAATCCCGTCTTAGCTATGTCCTACTGCTATCTGATCCAAGGAAAATGTCTGACACTGCGAAATGATCTTCCTTACGAAATGCAATACGTTTGCGAACTCGACTGCAAGCCCATCTGTATATCGCCTTGCCCACCCTGCAAAATTTCCTGCGATCCCCCTTGTGGCACCCCTTGTCCACCAATCACCGGATGTCCCACTTATTCAAATACGAAGTCCTGTGAGCGTCAAGCGCAATCCTATCCACCTGCCTAACCTGCGTCGCTATGTCAACCTAATTCAGAAACGATGTACCAGGGAGCAATGTGTCAACCAAATGTCCAAAGAAACGAATTGAATCCGCGTGTACGACAATACGTCAAGTTACGATATTCATGTGATATGAAGATTTATGAGGATCATTCTTGTATGGCGAATCGTTAATCTTGCCATCGATTGAAGTCTGTTTTTACTACTTTTATTCAATTTACTTTATAGTTCTATGTTTATTGGACATAATGTATACATTTGTGAGAATAAAAAATATATTACGCATAAAAATCACTTTCCCACTTTTCTTTGCAGAGATCATTTTGTTTAATTGAAAAAATATAAAGTAGTTTTAAAAAATTGCAATTATATCGAATGATCGGATAATAATCGGATGAATGTATAAAATATCTGCAGTCAATAAGTTCTCATGTATATTTCGTATATCTGAAATCAGTGATCAATGATAATACCTTCAGTTGGTACATCTTACGGTAGTCTCTATTATCAAAGTATGGTTATATTTTAAATAATGTGTTGTAATTTTATGTAATGTGTTATATAATATTACGAAATATATTTATATATTAATAAATGCATATAAATTAATTTAACATTTAGGCTAATCTTCATGAATAAATGTATATTTTCTATTCGATTTTCGAATAAAAATGTATTTCACAGTATCTTTAATATCAATTATTTTTCAAATTAGAGCTACATAATTATATGTGATTGTTTGATGTTATTTTTATGTATTACGATGAATTTGAATTTAAGAATAGCGCATGTGCAATTAGAAACAATTCCTAATTTTTATACTTTGATTTTATTATCGACTATTCTGAATATGAATCATTATTAATCATATTATTTGATGATAGTATATTGGACAATCAATATCAAAATAATTGTGTATATTCACATTATCAATTGTAAATTTTTTTTAAGTCAATCGTACTATGAAGAAAGAGGAGAGGGTATGTTGGAGAACATAAATATAAAATAATTTCAAAAAGTATATATTAAAGTATATACTTTTTAAAGTCATGTTTATCATTGCGTGTCTATCGATAGTTAAAACCATATTTGACAATCACTAAGTTGCTTTACAGGCTTAACGCTAGCAAAAGAATGCCGTGGAAGGAAAACTTAATTAACTACTACGTCCTTTCTTAATTAAGAAAAAATGTTTGGCGTATCTCGTAGAGATTACTGCGAACGAAGTAAACTTCCGTTTGCATTACCATCACGTTTGCTTTCTCACGATCAAAAGCCTGATCTAAAACTAATCTTGGAATTTTTTGCTAGAACATTGATGTTAGACGAATGGATTGACAGAGTACAAATGCTTATCTATATAATTCTCATTAAATTATTAATTCAAATCTCTTCAAGTATTTATGTAAAGATACAATAAACGATATATGTAACAATTTGAAATTGAAATAAAAATTATTTAACGAAACAGATAAAGAACAGATTATTATTAGTTTTTATAATTTGTACAATAAATAAATTTACATCAACTTTGTTATTAATTCAAAATGTTGCATTTAATGCATGATTGAAAAAATATCAGTTTAATTATTTTATCATCTGATTATTTATTTATTTTATGTCTAATATTAAATATCAATCATTTCGTATACATGAAATACGGACATTAATCGCATACAAAATCGACGAAAACACGACACAATCGCGAGTGACAGTTTCGGAGATACGGGGTAAAGCGGATAATACACAATTCACAGGTAGTAACATAATGACAAGAGAAGGCAGCATTATCAGTGCGGTGGTACATGTGAGTTGACATTGTTTGAAGAACCTGAGGCGCGCGCACGCACGCACGCACGCACGCACGCGCACACACACACACACACACACACACACACACACACACACACCACAACACTCCCCCCCCCACATAGACACACACAGGCACACAACACACACACACACACACACACACCACCGCGAGTCGTCGGTTGCAAGAAGCGCGATGCGAGGTTCGCAAGGAGGTAACATACCGGACGAAGGGCATAGAGGGGTGGAGGAAGAGAGTGAGAGAGGAGGGGGCGGTAGGGGGCAGTGTGGCGGGTTCGACGGCCGGCTGGTGGCCCAGTGACCGGGACCGGTTCCCTCCGCGGTTCCTCCTTCCGCCTTCCTTGCAAACGCACAACTGCATCATCTCGACTCACCTCGCTTCGTCTCCGTCACCGTTCCCCTCAACATCCCAAGCCTGCTGTTCTTCTCTTTCTCTCTTCCTCCCTCTCTCCCTCTCACACTCTATCTCACCCTTTCTCTGTCTTTCTTCAAGACCGTCTGCCAACCCTCCGCTCACCTCCTCGATCCAACCCGATGCGCGCCTTCGCACTTGCGCCTCTCTCTCTCCTCTCGTTCATTCGATCGACCGACCGGCCGGTCGACCGTTTCTCTCTCTCTCTCTCTCTCTCCCTCTCCCTCTCTCCCTCTCTCTCTTCATCGTCATATATCTCGCGCGTCTCCTCTCGTCTTTCGCACGAAAGAGTTGCCACACGCGCGAAACAGCCCACCGCCTTCTTCGTTCTTCGTTGATTCTCTCCGTGATGCCGATGCGATGCTTTTCTCTCGCTTGCACCATTTTGCCACTCGCGCGCTCAACAGCGTCCATCTCATTCTCTCATCCTCTCTTTCTCTCTTTCTCTCTTTCTCACCTCGCGAAGCAGAGGTCATGCCGCGTATTCGCTTCTTCATTCTTCCTCCTGTCCTCTTTCTCCTGGCTGCCTCTTCGTCGTTTCGTCGTTTCGTTCTCTTCATTTTCTTTTCTTTGTATCTCGTAGTTCGTTCAGTGATCGGGCTGGCAATGCGGGTGGATGTGCAATTATTTATCCCACACGACGTAGGCAGTCCGCGGATAGGAAGGACGGGATCCAAAGATAAACGAACGAATGCCGGTTTCGAATGGGAGCCGAAGCGTATCATATCGTCGCGACATCACGGGGATCTTTAAATTCAAGATGGGCCTGGTCTCAAACACCTCAGTCAAGGACTTGAAAGGAAAAGTAGTTCTATGCAGAAGAAAGAGAAGCAGAGAGAAAGACAGGGAGAAAGAACCAGAGGGAGAGATCGTGCGAGGGAAGGAAGAGGAGAGGTCGGGAAGGGAAGGAAGTGAAAGTACGATGAAGGCCTGTGTTAGTTACCCGTGCATCCGAGATTTCGTCGTGCTACCGCCTTTCTTCCGTCTTCCTCTTCTTTCTACCTCCCTCCTCCCCTCCCCCCATCTCCATCCCCTTCCTCCTGCTTCCTTCTGTTGCTGTCGTCGTCGCTTCTCT